GAGAGAGAACGAGAGGAAGAAAGTATGTAGTTATAAAGATCCACTAATATCCAGAAGTCTGTGAGTCTGTGAGACGTCTCAAGCAACCCCCCCCCTACCTTCTCTCTTTTCCTTTGATGAAGCCTTCTCCTTCATCACAGTTTGTGGCTTCGCAGGTGAACTCGGCTTCGAGTTCTGTCTTTGATTCTTTCCTCTCTATCTGCCAACATTCCTTTACAACTGAAATTAAAGAAAAATTAGGGCTTTTAGGCTTGTATATGGAACTGATATTTCTATTATTAAAGGCAGTAAGAGGCTTCTTATTCTTCTGCTTTTGCTTCTGCTTCCTTTTCTATTCCTTCTTCGGCGTCGTCTCTTTCCATTAAGAATTGTAACACAATCCTTGTAAGCCATAGACAGGTTAGTCCATCTCTTTCGGTTTGTCTGTTGGTAAACACATTCTGTGTTTGCTTTAATGTAGTATTCAAAGTATTCATTTTGTATATTAATGAAATTAATTTGCTTTTTGATTGTTCCGAATTATTAGATGATGCGGAGGCAACCGGCACTAGTGATGGTGGCAATACATGCATAGGTGCCCATTGCTTTGTGTTGGATGTACGTGTTTCTCGTAATCAGAACCAGGAACGTTTATTCTAAAATTTATGCCACCCATAAGTCCAAGAAATCAACTGTGAATCCTACAGCCATTAAATAAGATGAATTCATTCTTTTATAGGATTTTTTTTCAACTTAGAGGCATCTGCATCAGAGAGTTCACATCTCCGCCCCACAGCACATAGAACATCTCCCAATATTTGCTTTCTCATATAAATCCTTTATATGGGATTTATGATTAAATATTGATTTCCCAATATTTGCAGGTTTTCTAACCATCTTAACCATACAAAGGAAATATGGTAGTAGAATATGATGACAACATATGCCAGGTTTGTAGTGATGGTAAGAGCCAAACAAGCATAACCAGGAAAATTAGTGCCTTCAATAGATCCCCGCAAATCTTCTTGGCCAAATGTTCCCATCAAGCCAATTTATCCTAGAATACATTTTCCTGAAAATCCAGAAAATAAAATCAATAAAACTAAGATCTATTGATAAAAGAACAAAACAGTAAATAGAAAATTTAGAAAAAAAAATATAAACATTGAACATACCTTTCTACTTTACTCAGAGATGAGTGCCCTGAAAATCTTCAAGCAAATAGGTAATCAGCGCCAATAAAAGCTTTGCAAATCCAAAAGGGGATGGAGGCATCCATGCATGGAGAGATAATAACAGTTTATTGGATACTTGTGGCTAATGATCGATGATGAAATTCATTATGTCAGGTTGGCTGCATCTTCTTTCTCCTTTTTTTTTTCTTTCCGATAAAAGACTTAGTATATGTTTGAAATCGATGCTGCAGATCTGCTGATGTGTAGGTTTGAACAATCATTTTCTGAGAAAACGATGTTTCTTTTTTTGTTTGGAAATGTTGCTGCCAGGTAAGATGTTTCCTGGAGCAACAACACTTTCTTTTTGGTACTAATGCTTCATGTCTGTTTTCAGCATTGGTACCCATTACAGGAAATCCACATCACTGCTACATTACGTTTTCGTTGGCAGCAACGAGTTGCAATCTGAGAAAATGTCAAATTCGGTGTTGCTCCAAACCACGCATTCTCGATTTCCAAGGTGTGTTTTGAAGCACTGTTTTTATAAAAAATGGTTCCAAGCAATCAAACATTTCTTGGAACACTTTTTTTCCGACATGGCGCTGATGTGTCACCATTTTCTAGAGCAACGTCATCGATGCCAGACAGATGCTTAAAAAATAACTTGAGTTTTTAGAAATTATGTTTTATTTAGTTCTTTTTCTTGAAAATATTTGAAAGAAAATGAAGGTTAGAAAAGTTGCAGTCTGCTTATGTCCAATTTAAAACCTCAAGCTATGTTTAAGTCAATTTTTGAAGTCTCATGTTTAATTCTTTTACCCTTTAAACACAAAAATTTGAGAAAAATAAGGACTGTAACAACACCAACACCTAGTGTGATACAACTGTGGACCCATAACTAACAACGTAAATTAACATGAAACTGCTTAATTATAAGGGTGAAGGACTTAAACTTCCCTTCAAATTCACCTAAATACTAAAACCTCTCATCTCCTTTTTTAAAAGACTAAGACCACCCCTATTAAAGTTATTTCGAACTGAATCATCAAAAGGACTCTTTTACCCTTGTTAATTTTTCAAATTTTCAAAACCGTGGAATAGTTTCTTTGTCTATTCCGTTATCTTCTATGTAGCCTTACACTTTGTCAAGTTTTCATGTCAATTTGCATTCAAGTGGGCTTTTTATAAAAAAAAACATATGTTTTATTGGAATTCGTTTTTGTATTTATTACAGCTAAAAGTCTGTTTGATAAGAAGGTAAATTTATCAATGCAAAATTAACTCAACTTTACAATTTATATGAACTGTTTTACACTCTACATATTTGCATCGTTTCCAAATACAGCCTAATGTATTGAAGAATGCAGTTGCAGATCAACCTTTTACCCTTATTTCTACATATCCATGCTCATGCAAAATGAGAGCAGCTATTTTTATGGCTACGACTATTTTTTGTTTGTCATTTTCTTTCAACTGCCAAGAAGTTTTTTGGCCTTGGTTGATCAATACCGGAACCCGTGTTTCCTACTCTGTCCCCACCCCTTAATCACACTATAATGTATATGTAATGTTAGCAAGGAAAAGAAGTTAGCTGCATCAAATAAAAACCTTCAATTTTTTCGTAGTGCATGCTAGAAGGGCCAGGACTACAAAAATGTTACTAAAATAGGTGGAGAGGAGTTTCAAACTGACAAATTAAGGCCATGTTTTGTTCAATTCTTATTCTTTTCATTCTTAACCGAGATGAAATTCAAAAATGGACAAGAATGGATAAAAATGAGCAGAATGAGAAAATATTGCTAGGAATCAAACACTTTTTTCTAAAAATGAATTCTTTTTAGACCAACAAGTGTCCTATGTTACTCGTTTTCATTCTTCAAAAAAAAAAAAAAAAAAAACTATGCCAGTATTCATAAACCACCAGCCTAGATCTTCAAAACTATGGTATAGATGTTTTGTAAAAGTGCTTTTATAAAAATACTTTTATAAAAAGTACTTATGAAAATGTGTTTTTATAAAAGTACTTTCATAAAAAATACTTTTGTAAAAGTATTTTTATAAATGTACTTTCGTAAAAGTGTTTATAAAAGAACTTTCATAAAAGTGTTTTATAAAAATACTTTCATAAAAGTGCTTTTATAAAAGTACTTTCATAAAAGTGCTTTCATAAAAGTACTTTTGTAAAAGTGCTTTTATAAAAATGCTTTCGTAAAAGTGTTTTTATTAAAGTGCTTTCATAAAAGTACTTTTATAAAAGTGCTTTAATAAAAGTGTTTTTATAAAAATGCTTTCATAAAAGTAATTTAATGTAAAAGTGTTTTCATAAATTTACTTCTATAAATATGATTTCGTAAAAGTTCTTTCATGTAAAAGTACTTTTATAAAAGTGCTTTCATAAAAGTACTTTTGGAGAAATACTTTTGTAAAAGTACTTTTGTAAAAGTACTTTCGTAAAAGTGCTTGAAGTAAATATTTATGACAACAGTTTTGTAGGTAGAGTTTCCTTGAAGAATCAAAATGAGCAAGATGGGGCATGATTATTTTTTATGCTGTAAGCTACTAATTTTTGTGCTATGGGGCTGATTTTTCATTCTAAAAAGAATGTGGCTCATGGCAACAATTTTATAATCAAACACTCTAATGTTATTCTTTCTTTCCTAGAATGAGCAACAATTAAAAAAATGTGGCCTAGAATAGTGAACCAAACCTGGCCTAAATTGGATTCGGTTTAGATAATAAACTTGCATCATCTTTACTTACGGTATTGGATGCAGTATACAATCCTAAAAATAACATTCAGTTAGGTCTCTCTCTTCATTTGTTTATGTTCAAACAAGAAAAAAAATGAAAAAAAGAAAGACTATAAAGAAACAAAGGAAAAGAAAATTTAAATGCATCTTATAGAGAATAAATTCAATTCTCTTCAAAAGGATGTGAAATTTTTACAAGAATCTAAATTAAGATTACTTGGGCTTAACTAGCAGAAAGGTCATGATTTGTCACCATATCGCAGTTGTTACAACAAATGGTTTAATGGTTGTTGAAAGTGAATAAGGGTAGTTTTTCATTCATTTGTGTCCAGAACATTTTTGGGAATGGTTGATCAAATAGTTCAATACTCCATAAAACAATCGCCCCAAGCAAGGTTCAAAATATTGTTACGTATTAACCTGTATCGGCCGATATATATCGTATTGTGGCATTCCCGATACACCCCTACAAGGGGTGTTTCGGGTCAGACCATGTTTCAGAGAATAGTCGGGCTTTAAACTGACCCCTCTGAACCATAATAATAAAAAAAAAAAAAACACAAAAAAGCACCGATAGAGGCCAATATGCCTTATCAATACTTTGAACCTTGGTCCCAAGTACCCAAACCTTAAAGGGGCAAAATTGGATATTAGGGTCAAAACTATCATTTTTCACTATTATCTAATAAAATGTCGATCAAGTAAATTGATCCTAACTTGTGAATATGGCTTCTTAAAACTCAAATATTTTTTTCTTTTATGATAGGATCCTAAACACGGTTGATGATTTATCCAAAAGCAAATGCAAGAAACGAATCAGAAAATGAAATAAAATGTATACATTTCTTTTTTGTGGGTGTTAAGCTTTTAGAACTGATTACAAAAAAAAAAAATGTACATGTAACAGATATGATTCTAACCATAGACACTACTTTTTCTGTACAGATACTTTTGGACACCTATCTTCCTTCATTTCCACAGGTTAGAAAATATGAAAAAGAAAGTGTTGGTGAAAAGAGCTCTAGTTTGGTTTTAATTTCTCATTCCTTAACATGGTTGTAGTTTCTGCATGAGGGAAATAGCCAATTCATCAAGTCTAGATAACCTTCATCCTTCGGAAGTAGCGCTTCACACACCATATCTGCAAACTTGAAACTACAATGCAGATTGCCATGGACATGACACTGAACCATGCTACTCTAGCATTGGTTGTCTCACTTACTATCCTCATTTCAAGCTCCCTATTAATGAACAAGCAATAATAAATCAAATGCTATTCTCTGCCTGCGTGAACAATGGCAAATAATTAAATCTGGATGAATATCTACTACCTGCTTCTGAGATGGAACATAGTTTCATAAATGGACTCCACTATTGCCTCATGTTTCCTCAGCGTAAGCTCAACACCCTATATGACACAAGATGATGTATATGTACGCATTAGTCTATATATATCCTATCCAATAAGAGATTAAGAACAAGGTTCAGAAATTAATACAGAAAAACACATATGAACGTGGAAAAACCTTGGCTTTTTCTTCTTTTCTAGCAACAGAGTCCCAGTCCCTTGCAGCGATTCCAATTCTCCAGTCAAGGTTGATTCTTGCTCCTACATCTCGATGATAGTCGGCCAGATGAAAGCAAACCAAGTAGTTCCCAGCCTGCGTAGTTGTGAATGTAAAATGGCCATCTGTGACATTTTTCACACTATAAAGGGTGTTCCCAATTGGAGCTATCACCTGAAGAAAGGCCGGACCAATCGTCAACCAATACCCAAACCCAATAGAAGTCACCGGAAAATATTAAATAAAATGTATTGCAGAGAATTTAATTTGGAGTATAAATATTCTTACATCGGCGTTGATGGCGGGAATACCATGGATATGGCCTTCGGATGTGACGTTGTAAATGCCTAATACAAGGACATTATTTTGGATTTCGTCTGAAACACACTTTTTTGTTGAAGGAGGAAGATTCAACAAAACCGCTTCCCCCGAAGGCAGAAGAAGAAGACCCATCCAACTTACGGTAAGAATCAAAACCGGGATGGGCAATGCCATCGTCGTTAATTTTCTGTAGAAACTTAAACCAACCAACCAAGACCACCTAGTATCCCTCGATCAATCGCTCTCACTTGCCCCACTCTGCAGGTTGGTCAACAGAGATGGAACAAGCGAAAGTGTCGAAAATGCCAAAGCGGGGACAGGGATTGAAAGCAATAACCCAGATCGATCTTCTATCTCTCGATCTTTCGTCTGGGTTAATTGTTCATTATTTTGCAACATGAATTTAGAGGACGAGACTGTCTATTTTTTACCAGTCCGGAACTACTGGAATACCACCCTTCAAAAGGCAACTTGGGAGATGGGATATCCTCACAACAAAATACTTTTCTAACGTGTTTCAACCTTGATATGTGTCCATACATCTCACCATGATCAACATAGGTCTTAATCTCATGGTAAGATGTGCAGATAACCTGTTGGAAAAGTATTTTCTTGTCAACAGATCTCTGGGCCAGGCAAAGTATTCCTATCACGTTAAGGCATGTAAATTAGGAGTCATTTTAATTTAAGTATCCTGTCAAGATTCTTTATTTATGTATTTGCTATAGCTTTGGTTTATTAATAAATATTTGTAATTGATTTATCTTTAAAGTCGACAAAAAGTATTTGATAAATTATTTATTGAAAATTAGGGACCATTAAATGCCATTAGGTGTCACATCAATACAGCAGTAAATAAACGCTTAACCGTTGATCAATGGTTGACGCACACATAAATCAAGATAAACTTTTATCAATATAAATCCTGATTTGGTGATGACACGACACTGTTCACTGAAGTTATAATGAAAGGACAACATTTAGTTGACTTAACCATTTAAAATTTTATAACTTTCATAATCTACTCACTAAAATGCAGTAGGCATCCTCTCTCCCTTATTCCAATAAATATTTGGGTTAAATACTTAAACTACCTTTATGGTTTAGTAAATTGACACAAACCTACCCTACTATTTATGAAATGACTTAAAGTACACTTGAGATTTCTGATATAGACAAAGAGGTTATCATGTTGTCTCCTAAAACCCTAATGGCTACGAATAGATTTGTGCGAGATCCGTGTAAGAAGACTTCAATAGTCGCCAGATTTATCCACTTCTACCACTGGTTTCTCTCTTCAATCACCATAGATTCTCAGATCTATAGTGTCTCCGAGCTCTTCTACGGGCTTCTCCTCTCCATTGTCAGAAAACTCCAATCTAAAGCTGTCATCCCCGTTGAATGGAGCAAGGGTTTTGGCAATGGTTGAAGTCTTTCCTCTTTAAAAAGAATGATGTCACCAAAGGCCAAAGGGTATTTTGGACCATAAAAAGGTAGTTTAGACATTTTAGAAAATAAAAGTGTCACATGGCATCACATGCTCAGAAATGTTCGGAATACTTTACCTAATTTCTTAAATAGTAGGATAGGTTTGTGTCTATTTTCCCAATTTTTTATCTTTTTTAGCACATGTAATATCTACCATCTCACATTGTAAGTACCTAAGTTGTGCCCCTTCCTAGAATTTCCCCTAAACTATCTCACATCTTCAATTACTGTAGCTTTTAAAACTTCTCTTAAACTATCTCACATTCCCAATGACACTAAAGCTAATATTTCCTTCTAAAACTCTCTTTCTATCATTGTTTTTCTGCCTCTCATGCAAATTTAAATACATGCATTTAGTTTTTGATCCAACATATATATATATATATCAAAATATTAGGGGGAATTACTTAAATATTTTGAAGTATTTGACAAATACTAAAACATGTCATGTGAGAAATTATTTAAATATACCCTAACAGAACATTCTATTGTTAAGTTTGATGGAATAGGTTAAAGAACAAAATTCCCTCCTCTTATCTAGAAAAATACCTCATCCATATATCTATGAAATTTAAAGAGAAGATCTGAATGCAATTTGTACGGGTATTTTTCAATGATGAACACAATTTGATTGGCTTCTTCCGTTCCCTTACCAAGATTAGGAATGCTCTAGAACACCCAAATTCCCCTAAATTCCACCAAGCACACATTAAACATCAAATTAGACCATTTTGACCTTCTTAGAACATCTAAAACCCATGAGAATACAAACTCCAATTCAGCTACCCAAACTTACAAGATTTCAATCCAGTGGTTCTAATAAGCGTCACTTATCAACATTCCTGTCATGTAATGACACACAACCATCTAAACCCGAACCAAAGACCTAACCATACCAAATCTCACCTCTAGGCTTCAATATTTTATCTATCCATCATAGATTCGATTTTAGCATATCTAGTGCTGTAATACTTCTCCACCCTAAAACCTTCCATCTACATGTCACCAACATAATTAGACTCTGCCACAAATCTCTTAAATCTAGTCTCTTCTACCCTAAAAAAATTTAGGCAGGACAATCACTAATTTAACCCTTAAATCAACTATGATTCTGAGAGCCTTAATTAATTAGCTGATCCAATTTAGCTAAGAACACTTGGGGGCTATCATATCTCCCATTTCACCATTCAATTGAAAATCCATCTTATCCATCAAATCCCAAACACTTTAAACACCTATCAATTGAATTTGACTCCTATATCAATTGAATTTGACTCCTAATCTCGACCATTTAACTTGTCAAAAAATCTTGACTCCATTTTAGTACTCCTTATCGATCAAACCTTCATGTCCCAGATCTACCCCTTTGACCCAACTTCATCTTCATCAGACATCATCAATAGCTTTTGGACATCGCAAAATACCTACCCACCAAATTCCAGCCCAAAACTCTCATATTTATACCTCCATTATTCTAAGACTAATGCAGATGATCTCAATTGTCAAAATCCACATCACCTAAATCCACTTTGATCTTGACACTTTTGAGACAACTAGTAAACATACACGTGTTTTGTACATGACAATTCTAGATGATGACAATGATAGTAATAATATATCCAAAATTTTCTATAAACTTTTATGTATTTTTTTGCTTTTATATTTTATATTTTTTATTATTAATTAGTTGTAAATTGCAAAATCCAAATCTGATAACATAAACACCTCATCCAAATGTATAATAATAAGATTAAGTTGTGAAGTTTCAAGTATCATTAACAAACCTATCAGCCTGGTAGGGATACAAACAAATTGGATTGGATTCAAATTAGAGTATATCTGAATCTGATCTAATATTATTAACAACAGATCTGATTGCATCTCAAAAACAAGGATTTAAATACGAATATGATGAGGAAGTCAAGTATTTGGATCTGATCAGTTCCATATTAATTTAAAAATAATAAAATATTAAAAGAAAATGAAAATATAACAATTTAAATAAAAAAAACAAAAAATACAAGTATCTTTTCAACTATTTTCATCATATATATACATTTTTATAAAAAATAAATAATATAACAAATTTACAAAAATGCAATATAAATAAGTAAATAATGTGTGTGTGTGTGTATATTGAATTCGATAGGGAGTGATCCGAATTCAAGAAGGATTGATCGGATAATGATTCGATCCAATTTTCATCCCTACTACTTGGCTAGATTTTTCAATTTATAATGCTTTATTTTTTGGTGTATATCTTTTTTGTTCATTTATAAAAAAAATGTAAGATTTAAATAGATTGAATTGAATGTGGTGAAAAGTAGTAGTTAAATTTACAATTTAAACATCACAATTAAATAAGTACTAAATTCAAAATTGATTATTTCAGTCAAAGGAAAATTCTACAATCTTATTCATATTTTTAATAGTAGTGTAAATATAGAATTATAGATGTATTCAATTTTTACTATAGTTTTTTATTTTTATTTTTGTGTGTAAAGCTAATTCTAATATTTTACACTTACTTTTTGTTTAATATGATATAATACATGTGTCTGAATGTTTTTTTCTTTTTTGCAAAATGCACGTCTTTTTTTTTTATTTTCTGTATTTTTATATTTTATTGTTTATTTTTGACATTAAAGTTTCATTTTTGGAAAATTTTAAATTATGTATTTTATTTTCATTATCAATAAAAATAATTATCGTTTATTATACTTATTTTTTAATTTGATTACATAAATGTGTCTAATTTTTCTACATCTTTTTGTAATTTTTCATATTTATTATATTTTAAAAATTTTATTACCTAACTATGACTTTGTAGATTGATCAATTTGATTCGGATGATTGAATTGCTTAACCACCACTTGGATAAAGAATGGTTTGTTTTTGAATCAATTTTAAAATATATAGATTTATAATATTTAAAATATTGATATTGATCTAATTAATAACATTTATTAGTGAAAAACAACGTAAAAATAAGAGAAAATAAGATTTAATATCTTAAGTATAAGACTAATTAGGGTGTGTTTTGTTCCATGGCGTTTATCAATAAAAAGCTGCCATGTCTGCACCAGTTAGGCATGGTCGTTTATTGATGGTAGAACCACTGATTGGTTTGCCCGTTTATTAAATAATGGTAAAAATTGTCAAACATTGATTTGTGTGCCCAAAGCCGTTGGGGTAGCAACAATTTCTTGTTTCCCCCAACGGCATGGCGTTTCCGGAAACCTCTTGATCATGTGGCATCAACGTGGATGCCAATGTGGTGGTTCGAGTAAGATGATCCTATGCATCACGGACCATGAAGAAGAAATGCTTTTCACCCTAATGTGAAGAGAACCCATTTTTTCATATGTGTTTGGTTTTGTCTGTAGAGAACTGCCACCGTGGTTTGTCACCGGTAAGAGCCACCGTCAACTTAAAATCTTGTATTATTTCCGTTGTCTTCGGTATCCACATTTTCTTCTTATTTTTGGAGATCTATACCTAGACGCAAGTCTCTCCTGTGCACCGACCTTCTGGGCGTTTCTTCCCACCGTACGTCGACGGCTCTGAAGGGAGTGAAATTCCAATCTCTATACAACCGCTTGGAGGATGGAATGATAAGTCCTCTTCATAAGAAATAGCTTGCCTCTTCTCTCTATTCAATGAAACTATTTTCTGGGCATGCATTATTCCGTTGTCAAATATCTGATGACCTAACATGAAGGTGTTTTAATACGGAGAGATGACTCTTGGTAGAACTGACCTGAGTTTGGTTGCTAGAATTTTGGACATTGGACGTCACAAAGTCATTAAGGAAATTCTTAGCTGATAAAAATTTGTTGAACAAATGTAACTAACCATGATACAACACTCATCAGTTGTTTCTTCTGCAACATCAAGAAATGTGAGTGCGTGATTGGGTCTAGCAGGATAAGTTCTATATGCCACACTACTTGTACAATTCAGAGTCAGAGCTATGGGCGTGAATCTGACGCTGAAAAAATTGGGTCCAGTAGTGCGGTTGCAAAGAAAGTGGAGGCCAAGGGTTTATATCTCCCTAGAAGTATTTGACGATCCAAACTTCAATGTTGGTAAAAAAATGGCAAAAGAAAGTGTTGGAATGCGATGTGGAATCAACCCTAGATGATCCAAATTTCAGTGCTCCACGTCCATCTAATGCAAGCATTTCCTCTAATCGAAGAGAGTAAACAAACAAACAAAAATTAAAGGGAAAATGAGAGAGGAATTAATTTGCCTACATACAAAAACTTATTGGACATTAGACTCTTTTATTAGTCACATTAAAATTATAAGGAAAGTCATAAGCGAGAAAAGCAACCATTGGGGGTAGTTTGGATGGGTAAAGGTTAGTTTGTTTATATAATATAATCTATATATATTATAGATTAAACCCTTACAAAAAACACTCCTATACTTAAAGGGCGCAATGATTCCATTATAAGAAACTCCATTTCTTCACTTATTGGACTAGTACTACACCTTAGGCTTTGACTTCAGCCATTAGATCTCCCTCCTAAAACCCTCCTTAAATCTAGCCATGTCCTAGAAACCATTCTCGGAATTCTCAAGCACACTCCTCAAATCTAAAAACCCCTATGACACCTCTCGATTAAAATCTTGTTTAAACACTCAATTCTAAAAACCCTAGACTAACTCTCCTCATCAACCCTTTGTTAATTATGAATAACCTTAGAGTTCCCTTCTCTATTTAAGTTCACTTACCTAATTTGGCTAAGGACTAGAAGCCAGAAAAAGGAGAGGTCGGTCAAGGCATAGAAAAATGTGAGTTTTGCATTGCCTTTAGATTGAGTGTTGATGGTAGGAATCTCTTTTCTGACTTGTGATCCATCATTAGTGTCCAAAAAATAATTTCAGATTGATAGTTCATGTTGCATTACAAATAAAAAAATACATAGAATAGTTATATTTTAATATTTTCTTCTTCTATGTGATAGACTTTTTTATTTGTATTCTATAATTAGTGTTGTATTTTTCTCTATTTTCATTGTTGTTGCATTGTCTCTCTTCTAGCATTAACCTTCGCTTTAGGCTTCTCAAACCAAATTTGCAAAAATTCTCAAATTGATACTTTCCATTGGAGTGGCTAGGCTATTGAATGGTTGAGTTCACTACACTTGCTAGTAGGAAGCTAAGAGTTAAATAAAAAGACTGTTGGAAGGAGACCTCACAATATCATCTCTTGCTTTGGCTCTTGGATTTCCAAAAGGAGTATAATTATAGGAAGGTTCTCAAATAAAGAAGGGGAGGAGATCTCAGCTTCCGTTTTCTTTGATGGAGTTCTTTAAAGGGGTTAGTGGACTAAAACATTCAAGAGATTTAATTCCTCCCTAGTGTGAAGGTTATGAACAAGAAGGGGATTGAAATTGGCAAGGATTTCCATTCTTTTCTTTGATGGATTCTTTGGAGAAAGGTACTACATGTTGAAGGAGGAGGGATACCAAACGCCTTTTCCTCTCTTTCCCTTAAATGTAACTAGACAAGTCAATAATGGCATTTAAGTTAAGCTTTTCTAAGTTCCAAATGTAATGGGCCCATCACTCCCATGTTCTTGTGATAGATGGGTGATGGCTCCTTGATTTATAGCCATGGTGAGCCCCCATGTTTTGAATGCTCACATTGATCAAAGACTCAACCCACTAGCACTCTTCTCATACTAGACCTAATATAAACTCTTTAGAAGTAACATCTTTTGTTACCCTCACTCTATAATTCAACCCAAATATAAGTTACGCTGGATGCAATCCTTGCTTATAATGATGATGATTTCATCCTCTTCAAATTAGTCTAAAGTGAATCAAATGTGCAGCCTCGACCAAAGAAACATTGACAAAGTGAGTATGGTATTTTAATGTTATTTTCTAATGAATTGAAGATGATCTGCACAACGATGTCAATTGCACTGTTTACCCTCTCACATTGGACTTGAATGCCAAGTACCAACTTTATAAAAATTTACCAAGATGTGATTAAGGGGAAGTTTGAAGATTGAGGACATTACTTGCCCTAATTAGCAAGCTGATAATACTTTACCAAGGTGTGTGTGAGGTGTTGGCTAATTGTGTGCTTACCCTTTCCATACTCGCAGTATATGCCCTAACTACTAATTTGGTAAAAAAAATAGCAATATGAGATTTAGTGCCTAATTTGAAGTGTGAGGACACAAGACAGCCATCATGGACGACAAGCGAACGGTAAAAAGCAAGGACAATATTTCCGCCTAGGAACACATCAATAGGTGTTTTGTCTTGTCATTGTACCTAGTTTTGTATCGTATGCTCTATTTTAAATTCACCTTTTCTCTGGCCAGATTCATCTGGAATCTTTTTTGCTCTTACCGCAAAGATGAGTTTTAAACATTCTCTAACCGATGCGATCTGAAATCGTTTTTCTTATATTATTTTGTTTGCATTTGTTATACGTTATGTCGAATGGGTGTGGTTTCTTCTCTAATCCCATCGATAGTTATATGTTATGCCAAATGGATGTGGTTTCTTCTCTAATCCCATCAATGGTTATATGAAAACATCAATATGACAATGATATGTGTTTTTTATTGTTAATTTTAGGCTTAGTGTGGGTGGATTTGCAAAACTAATGTTAAGTTTCTATTTCTATAGAACAAAAATTCATTCTTAAAGAACAATTTGCCAAATGTATCTATTACTCCTGAAGAGTAAGAAATAAATTTCTTGTTATGGAACATGAATTTCCAAAAGAACAGGAACATGTGGAAACATTGCCAAACAGGGCCTAAAAAGTCATTGGAAAGGATTCAATCTATTCTTGCTAATGCTCAAATCAAGTTCCTAATGAGTAGAAGGCATACCACAAGTTGAAATATTCGTTATGCCTTACAATGATCAAAATTTTCCACAAATTGTTGACTGCTTCAAGGTAGTGGTTGACTAGCAACCCTAGGAAGGAATCTTTTTTTGTAGTCAATTAACTGGCCATACCAAATCTCCACTGTCAAGCATAGTCAATTCATCATTTTCTATAGTCAATTCATGAACAATATTCTCACAAACACTGCCTTCGACTATCATGACTAGTTGATTCATCGTCATTTCCTGTAGTTGACTACTCACTATTCACAACCTTAGGAACTTGAATATTTTTATTCCAATGGTCAAGAAGTTATTTCTTTAGGCTAAGTTTGGAAGGAGTACAAATACAAATATGTAGAGTGCAAAATCTTATATTTTGTATGTATTTACGCTGTACATATTTGCACTTGTACTCTTTCCAAACAGAGTCTTAGGTTTTTAACTAAGATTAATTACTTTTTAAGTTCAAGAATACTTAAGAATTAGACACTAGCCATTAAGTTTTTGGTTTTATCATGATTAGTCAAGCTCAAGCTTATCGTATGCATCTCATGCTTGTGATTTACATTAAATCCTAAATATGATACAATATCAATCACTTAGACTTGAATGCTCCTTTCTTCTTTTAGCTCTTGGTTGTAGATATCATCTTTGGAGAGATTCAATAAGATTGATGACAACTATCCAAGTCTTCATTCATATACTTTGTTTCTTTATATAGCGTTTGTTTAAATATTCTAGCTCAATGGAAATAACTACAAACTTAATTAGTTTCCTTTCTGATACCTTACTTCTCAATATTTCCCTTTCTCTTTCTATTGTTTCTCATAAAACAAATATGCGAAAATGTAATCATTAAGGAATATTATAAGTTTTTCATACCTTAATTGGGAACCAAATTATAGATCCTAAGGGAGGTTTGTATTTTACCTTTTTTTAAGAAACAAATAAAACTCTCTCTATATATATATGAAGAAAAAGAAGAGAAGGTGATAGAGAACAATATATTAGAATAGTCGAGAGCTTTATAAAAGAGGCAATTTGGAATAGAGTGAGAGTCAATGAGATGTTAAATGTGAAAGTGTGGTGGAATGTTATGGTCCTAAAGGTTGAAGGGTTTGGCTGGATATGTTCCAAACAGTCCACGTACTATTTTTGCGTAAATATTAGAAAAAAAAAATATATATATATATATCCAAAAGGTAGTGCATTTCACAAACTCAAATTCTAAATTTGTGTGATGAACTCTTACATATCAGTGAATGCTTTGGCGAAAAGTAACAATACAAAAAACAAACGAATCAGAAATGGAACAAACAAAATAAATCTATACATGTTTTTGTGGGTGTCAAGCTTCTGTACATGTAGCAGATATTCGAACCACACACAGTTGCATTGAGTTGGCTACTTTTGGATACGCCAATCTCCCTCTTTCAGCAAGGCCGGAAATTCTGTCTACCCAAAACTTTGCCCTAGGTTAGAAAATTAAAAAAACAAGGCATTGGTGCAAAAGAGATGTATAATTTGGTTCTAACTTCAAATTCCTTGAAATGGTTGTAGGTTCTGCATCAGGAGATTAGTCGATTTGTCAAGTCTAACAAGCTTCTTTCGGAAGTAGCGCTTCAAATGCCATAACTGCAAAGCTGAAACCAATATGCAGATCCCCAACGACATGATACTGAACATTGATATTCTGGAATTGGTTGTTTCATTTAATATCCTCATTTCCATACCCCTATTTATGTGCCACCAATAATAAATTAAATGTTATTCTACCTCTGTAACCAATAATGGTTAATATATTTAGACCATTAAATGGAATCACAATAGAACATTACCTGTTTCTAAGAACAAGCATAGTTTCTTTAATGGTCTCCACTAGTTCCTCATGTTTTCTCAGCTCAAGCTCAACACCCTATATGACAATATGACAAAAGGAAGTATATATGTATATATATGCAGGAAACCCAAAAAATAAAGTAAAATACAAAGAAGTTCCCTGTACTTTGGTGGTAGTAACACTAAGTCCCCCAAGCATTCATTTGCAACAAACTACTACCTGGGTCTTTAAGATTTTAACCAATTATGGACTTCTGTGAAACCATTTTACATTCTCCTTTATTGGATCTCTAAAACCCAAGTTTTGAACTTTTTTAAGATAAAATAAAAATATATTAAAAAAAAGAAAAAGAAAATACAAAAAGAGTTGAGAGGGTTGAAACTTTACAAAGTTTTGAACATTATGCCAGAGACTACTCTCATTTAACTCTCTTTCATCTCTTTTAAACAAATGCATGGAAAAAAAAAAAAAACGTAAATAAAAATCCCTTCTCGTGGGTTTTAGAGATGCAATAAAGGGGATGCAAAATGGTCTCTTAAAAAGTTTAAAACCAACAAAATGCTAATATTAGGAGAAGAATGTTAGAATCTAAATATAAAAGGTAGCTCTTTTGTTTCAAATGAATGCTTGCTTATTTGCTTAGTACTAAATGTCACCACCCCCAAAGTATAAGATAGGACTATATATTTTAGGCAAAAAGAAATTAATATAGAAAACACATTTTAATGTGCAAACCTCGAGGTTTTCAATTTTTGCAACATAACCCCAGTCCCTTGCAGCAAGTCCCTTTCTCCAATCAAGATTAACAGTTGTTTCTACATCTCGATTATAGCCATCCATCCAAAAACAAGTCAAGTAATTCCCCGGCTCTGTGGTTGTGAATGAAAACTGGCCATGTGTGACATTTTTGACATTATAAACCACATTCCCACGTGGAGATATCACCTATATATCAAAGTGGGCTTATCAACTCAGTTGCAGAAATGGATGAAAGGATCCATCATCAATCAATATCCAATTATAGATACAATTTCAATGATAATATCGAAAAGGGGTTCGACTATGATATGGAAAATATATGATAACTGACCAATAAATTGAAATCATAAACGAATAACAAATAAGGTGTTATTTATCAAAATTCATAGATGGGTTTTGATTGATCAAAACTCTTTCCATATGTTATCTTTTTGCATCATAGTTTTTCCTATGGAAAACATGATATCTGAAAACTTGTTACCAAACAATAGTTATTATAAAGGTGGTAATCAATGATGTGGTATTTATTGGTTAAACACCATAAATATTCCCTTAAAAATAAAAATGTACTGTCGAATTTAGGGTAGAAATTATACCTTAGCATCAATGGTGTTGCTGTGATCTGGGTCGTTAGAGATGACATTGTATTTGCCCAAGACGTTGACATTGCCCTTGATTTCTTCTGAAAGACACTTTGCTTTTGAAGGAGGAACATTCAACCAAAGCGCTTCGCCCAAATGCAGAACACCCATCCAGCTTACAATAAGCAACATAGCGGGGATGCGCAGTGCCATTCTCGTTTCAGTATAGAGATTCGAACTCTATGCTCCTTCCTTTTTTAATAAACTTTATTTTATTACAGAAGAAACACCACCTTCTATCGATCTCTTCCTTTCGCTTGCTCGCTCTAGTCGGTCGTCTACAGGCAGAGATGGAAACAAGCGAAAGCGTCAAAACTTCAGAAGCGGAACCAGGGACAGGGACCGAAATCTACTACACAAATTACTTCTCGTAATCTCTGGTCTGGGTTGCTTGTTGTTGATTTTCAACATGAATTTATAGGATGAGAATATCTATTTTTGGGGAGATCCATTCTTGACATATTTCGCTATGTTTCTATGGATCTTCACCTCTCAATTGGTTGGTTCCACTTACAAATCAAAGTCAAATTGCCATTACAAGAATAGTAATCGAATGACCCGGAACTACTGTTTACAAAACCGGACCGGATCGGATGGTTGGACCGGAAAAATCAGGAACCGGTAACCTGACTAGTTCCATTTTCATCCAAAACTGTTGATTTTGGTCAGCAAATTGCTGAACTGGCTGGTTAACTGTTCGAACCGTTCAAACGGTTTTGACTGTTTTCCAATTTTTTAAATTTTTTATTTTTTTTGTCAGAACGGGCCGGCCGTTCTGGTCGAACGGTCGGATCCTTCAAACCAGTAACCGGATCCCTGCCGGTTCATTTTTAAAAACCATGCCTGGAACAAAAGAAATGTTCGGAGCTTGGATCTCTTGCGCACAAACTATTCCCATATTGCTACTCACTTCACACTAAGGCCCTATTCAGCAAGTTATTTATCCAGGTAAATGCAATTACATGGGTAAGTTTTTCCTATAAAACACTTAACTAAATAAGTGTATTTACCCATGTTCTTTTATTTTTCAGGTAAATAAGATAATGATCATTTTAGTTATAAAAATCAATTATTAAAAGGAGCATTTTTCTTCCATTTAAATCTTAACAACTTTCCGCTTAAGTGAAAAAATTATTTACCCACATAAGAGATAGGTATCACTTAATCCAGGAAAATAAACGCTTCTTGGTCCCCACATTAATATGAAAAATGAACATGTGATTCTTTGTCAATGAGAAACAAAATCCTATTGACCAACTTTCTCCCTCTCAAAATCCAAAAACAGAATTATGCATCGGAAATATCTCCCATTCATATGAATATACAGTATTAACGTTTCATGGGTAAGGATCTGAAGTGAATTGTGACAAATTTGTAAGGAATAATGACTAAAACCTTAATTCCACGCCAATGAATTGAACTATCTATTCGTTCTTACTTAGGGGGTGTAGGCAAATATGCATGGTTCTATTTTTCAAAATAAAAATAATTTCCATGTTAGCAAAAGTAATAAGACTTTTGGTACCAAATAAAAAAAAAACAATATGATTTTGCTGATGTGATGTAAAGACCAGATCGGCTTCCATCAGGGCAAGCCTGTGCCCACATCGTTCTAACAACCTTTCTCAACCTTGCATTGAGAATATCTCCCCATAAAATAAAGCACATAAGTATGGAGATATTCTCAATACAAGACAATAAAGACTGCTCGAACGGACTTTGCCGTGACTGAAGCCGAACTCTGTAAAAACCGTTTTTATTTGAAAACATAAAATTATACATATTGACAAAGATCCCCTTTAAAATCATCAACTAATAAATGTATCAACTATAGCTTGAAGTTTGTGGATGAACGAGAAAATATTGGTGAGGATTCATATTGAATGAGGTTAAAGGAAAAAAAAAAAAGAAACTGAGCAATGTTAGGTATGTAGTATTATATATTGTTTTAAAACATATGTAAAGCAAAACAACAAAAGAAAATCAAAGTTAGCAAATAACAAACATGTGATATGTAAAGTTGAATTCACATCTGCTTTAGGTTTGGGAGATGTTCCCAATGCACGCCGTGAGATGTGCATGTGGGACATTTGTGGAGATATTACCATCATCATTAAATCCATGTATGTATGTAATCTATATATACATATTTATAGTTGGAATGAATTCAGGGTCGGGGTTTGGGAATTGTTAGACATACTATTATACTAGTGATTATTAATTGCCAAATGGCTAGTTGATAAGGTGTAAACTGACTGTAAGGGAGACTTGAGATGGAATAACACGTACACCAGGGTTGGGGGATTATGACTTTGGGGATTCCCTCCTCACCCCCAGCAAGCCTTTAAACTGTATATTTTATGTCTAGGTCGATTTGAATATCCCAGCCCAAAATGCAACAAGTCCAGCCTGATTTTTGCAGCCACCGGAAGCAGATGAGGCTGGGCTGTGCTTGTCTTAAAACTTTTAATAATTAATATCCTTTTGGTGCAGCAAGGCTGAGACAAGGGCACAGCACAAATATGCACTAATTTCTTGAGCACACATATAAGAGGATGTTTTGTTAAGGTTTTTCCTTTTAGCTTATAAGACACCAAAATGATGCTTGACTTTTAATTTTGATTTTAAGCTTTTGGCATTAAAAGTTTATTATTTATGCTTTTGCTTCAAATATACTTTAACCCGTAATATCTATATATGCCCATTTACCATTATAGAATAACATCATTTAAACCAAGCTTGATTAGGGGTGGATTCGAGTCAAGCCAGTCAAGGTTCGAGCTCGACTTGCCAAGGTAGCACAAGGTTTGAGCTCGGTTCGAGTTAGAACTTTGAGCTCAATCTCAATGCAAGTAAAAAAACTTGTAAATTCGAGTTTGGTTCGGTTCGAGTAAAAAACTCATAAGCTCGAGTTCGACTCGGCTTGAGTTCGATTTGAGAAAAAATGTTCTATAAAAATAAAATATTATATATAAAAAATATATTTAATTTGATATTAAAAAACTTAAAAATTATAATATTTTTATTATATATATTATTTTATATATATATATATATATATATTTAAGCTCGACTCATTTATTAATCGAACCTATAAATTAGGCTCGAACTCAGCTTGTGGCCACCCTAAGCCTGACCCACTGGAAGATGAAATTGGGCTGCAAATTTCATCCCATGTCTTGGGCATAAAATCTTATTCTAAATCCCATTAATCAACCGGCAAAGCTTATGACAGTGCATACCTAAAAAGCTTTTTTCAAAAGTTTAAGCAAATGGCCCTGAAATTTCTTGAGCTGTGCCACACTACCAACATATAGAGCTCTGCTCTTGGAGATGGTAAGATTTTCATAAATTTTCCCCTTCCAACCATCATTAGGAATAAAAAGAACAGATGTGGGAGATAAACATGCAAAGGGGCATCATATGACGTGCCTAAGGCTAAGGATTGAAAAATGAACACGGTATCAAGGCAAATGGACACCCAGAACACAGCGAGGATAAAGCGTGTGAGATGGGGGCAGAATTTTAAACTTTCCTGCCCAAGCTCGTTTCGGGAAGGCCTGCTTTCGGTAGGCCTGAGCCCAGAAAGCAGTGTGACCTTTGCAAAGAAAACCGGGATTTTGTTCCGGTGGCGGTGGTTACTGTTTGGGAGAGACTGTGGCCTGTGCGGAATTTCTGAGGTAAGAAGGAATAAGCTTGAGAAACTTAAAAAATTTAATTTTGGCCAAAGGAATTTGTAAATGTAGAGGTTTGAAACTCATGTGCAAAAGGATGGAAAACAATGAATTGGTGATTCTGATGTGGAAGGAGGGAGTACGGATACGAAAATGTTTAAGGTGGACTCGGGTTAAAGACCTGTGTGAAGGATACTCTGGAACTCGGGTAAGGAAACATTCAAATAGAGAGAGGACCTAGTTAAAAGGATGGTAGATGAGTGTGGAAACGGCAAAAACCCTCGGGTTATTTTAGTTAAGGGGAGAAGCGAATGCAAAGAATATTTTTCAGAAGCTTGGAGGAGGAAGAAAGAAACCCTAAGGCTGTGTTTGGAACACTAAATCAGAAAGTGACCATTGATTTTTTGAAAATAGTAAACTGAAATGCACTCAAAATTGCACTCCATCCAAATGCATATAAAATTGAATCAAAATGTAGTTTTAAGTGGATAATAATTATACCCTTTTTCCAAGCGAATACAAAATTGAGTTGATATAAAATTTATTTCAGTTCTTGATTTATATCGCATCCAAATGCAGCCTAAAGAGAGAAGAGAGCAAAAGGAAGAGGGCAGAAAAAACAATGAATCCTTAACAGAAGCAAATGAAACCGTCAAGTTAAGGTGTCTGCCTGGGAATAGAATGTTAAGAAGACTAACTGACCTTTACGTAGGTAGATTGCTCAGTGCAAGTGGATAAAGATTTGAGAAATTAAAGTCTTAGGAGAAGAAGAGGTGTTTAGCGGAGGGTCGTATTGGTTTGTGGGTCAGAGGTGGTGTTACTATTTTGTGGGAAGAGATTAATTAAGAGAGTGGGTGTGATTTTTTGTATGATTTGTTTTGGGTGAGGTTTGGATTGCGTCTGGTTTGTAAATTCTTTTTTTTTTTAAATATTTAAAACTTTAAAATGATGGATTGATCCAGTAACACCTATAAAATTTAAAAAGTAAAAAACAAGAAAGGTATTGGTCCAAACAATAAGCATTGGTACCCACTTGAAGGTATGGGACATATCAATATTTTAATCTTTGGATATATGAGGACAGTATTGATAAAATACATTAATTTAATTTGGGGTAAGCTACTTGAATCCCAATGTTCGATTAAATGGATGGTTTTAAAACCGATGCCAGAGTCACGGGAGTGAGTGCCACAAACACCTTAAACCACCAAAGGAGAAAAGTGATGAAAAATTATGAATTAAAATGTTTAAAAAATAAGTATAATAAAAATGTGAGTGTTTAGATGAATGAATGGTAAAAGTAAAACTAGAAGGACACGGTTAAAAATGAGGTCATTATCAAAGGAACTTCCAGTAGGTGATGAAACAAAAGAAAATAGATTGATATGGTTTGGTGTTATCCGATACGTCTCGTAGTAAAAGTGATGCTTTACAAGTTAAAGGCTAAAAGGAGGGGTAGACAAAAAAGAAGAGTTAAGTGAAAGTAATAAGAAATGATTTAAATGCCCAATGATACTAGGACGGTGTGGAAATCATACATTCCTTGAGAATGTGTTTTTCTAGAGTGTTGATTTGTCACTCCCAAAGAATATGTTTTTTGGGCGTTATTCTCATCACTCAAGAATGACTTGTTTCTTGCGTTTTTTTTTTTTTTTTTTGCCAAATATGTTTTTGTTCCGCCGGAGCACCGGGAACAAGAGAAATACTCCCACAAACCCTAAAGTTCCAATGAATTTAGCTTCTTACTAGTTCAAACCATTGAACTTAAGAAATTGGGTTTTTAATATACTCTCACTTACATGGGAAGAAATTTTTTAATCGAATCACTTGAAAATTGAAATTGTTTCCTCATTTTCAATCATATGTGAAAAAGGCAGTTCCAATATTGTGTAGGGAATTCTTTGGCCTTCACTTCAATTATTTCTTTTTAAACTTTTGGAATCATTTATTAGATAAATAATGTCCGCAAGCTCTAGAACTTAAATATACAAAGAATTTAAATGTTAAATTACATTATATTTCATTGAAAATTTTGCTTAGTAGATGTCGAAGAATATTAGTTATAATGGATGAATCTAACTAGAGCTGTAAATCAGGCCATGCTGGACTGGCATGGCATGGCTCATGCACAATCCATTGTGCAAGATTGGCTCAAAATCGTGCCGAATTGTGCTGGACTGCAGATGACACTACCCGATTTATACCTCTAAATCTAACTTTCAAGTTGACTCTAGAAAATACAGCTGTATATGATTCGAGAATGTGAAATGGGATCTGCTAGGAACACTCTGTGTGAACCGGGTTGCATTAACCAATTAAAGGCGCATGTATGAAACACTGATGTGTTTATTTGTGATTAGTCATATAACCTGATTTACACACTTTTGGCAGCAGATCACTAAGGTTGTGTTTGGTTTGATATAAAACAAGAGAGAAACCCACAGGCCAAAACTGAGAGAAAGTAGTTAAGAAATTTTGTGAAATATCATAAAAATTTTGCATCCAATTTCTGGTTCTTTTTATTTCCCTTCAAACAAAAACTAGCCTAAAAAGCTCTTTTGTCTTTTCAAATTCCAACAGTGAGAAGGAAAGATGGGTCATAGCCAATGTGTCCAATATTGTATTCGGGATTCTTTGGCCACGTCATATTCAGTATCCACGCCAGCTCTACAGTGAATCAATTATTAGTGCTTTTGCATGGATGGTGAGAACAGTCATTGAAGTTTCCTACTTAGACATAGGAACAGTGCATTTCATTGAAATGTGGTAAAGGTGGGTTGTTCCATTAAAACTTGTCTCGTGCATGGAGGGCAGAAAGGAGAAATGTGGAGCCCCTTTGAGCTGCCAAACATTACCTGCCACGTAGAGCTGATCAATTGATCCGACATTTATAATTGGTCGAGTAGTCCTTGTTTCAATACTGTTCCAAGGGAATCTCTCTGTATGGTTTTTTCATTTTTCAGCTTTTGCTCCAGACTTGTTAAGTGGTTTTCTTCCATTTTTGAGTTTCAGCTTCAAACCCTACAGCTAGTAGCTATTTGCATATACTGAATGAAGAGGCTGACTGTGTGTGTAGCGCCCATGAGTCATGTTGTTGCTACCACCCCACATTGGAGTGTCACAACCACATAGCTTGAGAATGATGTGAAATTGGCTATTAAGTCTGCAAATGAGTCCGGTTGGATGGATATTCATGAATTACCATTGATGAATTAAAATAAAATTGATAAGAATGTTCTTAATAAAATGAGCTAAAATTCTCTTGAACCTATGACTCCTTAGTGAACATTCGATCTAACTTTACTATATGTTTATATATTTATTCAGGCTCGGTTTGGAAGAGTAGAAATACAAATATATACAGTATAAATACATACAAAGTAATACAAAATATAAGGTTTGAATATATATTTACTCCTTTCAAACTCAACTTCATGCAATTCAATTATAAACAGATGGGTTCGAATTTGAATCTGGACAGTCAGATTTGAAACCCTGTTGGCAACGATGCCCAGGTAACTATCTAGCCATTATTGGCTATAGCCTTGTTATCTATCATCTATCATTGGTTGATTGTGTTAGAAAATATCACACTGAATATTTATGGATTGAAATTATTGATTTGTACCAAGGTTTTAGAAGCCGGACTGGACACAGTTTTGGGACTGGTTCCTGGGTCGAAAGGTCCGATTGTTCAGTTCGAATGAACAGCTCGTGCTGACTTAAAAAATAAATAAACAAAATAAAATCGACCAAAAAATGTTGTCTGTGTCAATGGATCGATGGTTTGACCACCCAGTTCAATGGGTCGCTGATCAAATCAATGGTTTTTAGTTAAAAACGGTTTTAGGTGAAATAGAACTGTTTACCTAACCGATTCCCAGGTGAAACGATCCAACCGTCCAGTCTCGTCCGGTTTTCAAACCCATGGTTTTCTAAGCTATATTGGGTGATTAATCATGTAAAGAGAACTGGTCAATGTGGTTTTAGGAGGGTCTAGTTTGATAACAGCAGTAAACATTTGTGGGCATTCTACTATCATCGTCACCAAGCATATATTTTTCTTCTCACATCAGAAGAAACCAAAGAAGTGGTCATTGGTTAGCATGATCGATGGGTGCAAAAGGCCATCTTGCTTTCCCGACTAACCGTGCAATACGTTCATGAAATTATGAAAAGCCTTTGTTTCCACAGAAGAATTTCAAACTATCAACAGTTCCAAGCTAAGAACACAGGGCTCCATCATGGCCTTTCTAGCAGCAGGCCATCTTTGCTTTTGGATCAACCGATGTTAATATATTGATAATCATCGATCAACTTTAAATTCTAGCTAGAAACCAAAAGACATATCTGAGTGCCAGTGGGGCCAACTCCCTGTTCCATTGGAAGCGTCCCCTCGTCGCGGGTCTCCCCCTTCAGTCACGTCCCTTTGTTTGAGCCAATAGCTTCAGAATTTGCTTGCTCTTACCGTCAATATGCTCTATAAACTTTTCTCTGATTGATACATTACTCTAGTGCAAGCTAAAATCTGTAGACTTCGAGCTTTATCAATATTAAAGTGAAAAAGGAATCCGTATAGTGTAGGGTTTTAAGCATTCTAGGCCTTGCCAAGTTTAGAATATAGGACCAAATAAATTAGGACTCTGGGACTGGGAGCTTTCAGGGTTTCAGACTTGGAAATCAGCTGTGCATCATCTGAACAAAGAACTTAGGCTTCTTTTTCTGCTAGCCTCTTGTATTTGAGTTATGTGGAGAAGTGAGGTGGCCAATTTGGACTATATCCGTCGAACCTCTAGACTGATTGGCCATGCATTCATTCATTTCCTCTGCCACAACCCACAACAAGCTGTTTTATATTCTCACCAATGTTTGCTTGAACATTTCCACAAACAAGTTATGTTAAGCATGTGAAAGTTTCCTAATTGTAATTTAGTACTACCCAAAAGAGGACGAATTGGGCCACAGTTATAGGGCTGTAGACCTGAATGTTGCGTTGGGTCGCCAACCACGGTGCCAAATATAAGATTCCTGGGCCATCTAGATCAGGTCCCTCAATGACTCTATCGTCTGGAAGACACACTCTTTCATTTCTTTTTCTTACCCCTTTTCCAGTCTAAGACATATGAAACATGGGCCCTCTTTTCATCTATTTTGGTCGCTTGCCCCTAAACTTTAACTAACCACTGCAACTATTTTTGGCATTTTCGATTTTTGACCATTCTTTTGACTCCCTTTTTATCTGTCACAGTCCTATTAAACGATTTAAACACGAACTGTTGGGGTGCCTTTGTTGCTTTCTTTCTTTTCTTTTGGCTGTATGGAAACCGTAAAAGATTGCAATTAGTACAAACTTGTGTATAGGAAAATATCACTCACTCTCTCTCTCTCTCGTATCTATCATGAACACTTGGGTAGTCGTCTAGTAGCTCTAAGATTACACGTAAGTTAAAAGGGTTCACGTTGTTTTAAATCTCGACCACAAGCTATATACATGCATGAAGATACAACTCTAACAACTTTTCTCACGTATAAAAAAAATGGTTTCTTTAAGCGCACCCATTTTGCCTTTTTTCCGTGTAGTTTGGGTTGATTGCCGGATAAGATGGGGCATGCGGCAGCGTTGGATTCCAAAGATGAGTGCACCCACTTGCTTTGGTTGAGCCTTTCTCTCCATCCCCTCAAACCACCAACTCTCACAAACACCACAAATACTGCATACATCATCAGACAGCACTAAACCCTAACTTCATTAGGGGTCACTGTATTCAATCCTCCACTCTCCCACCCAACAAGGAAAAAGAAGGAAATAAAGCATTTTTATTCTAAGAAAAACACCTCAGCTTTTCTTTGAGCCTATCATCAAAGCAAGGATTCTTGTTGTTTGGAAAATGTGTGTTTTTTTGCTATTGGATAGAAGTGTTGTGGTGAAATAGGTCTCTTTGTTCTAGCTCTTTACTAGTATATATAAGGCCATTTGTTCACTCACAAATGCAGGCAGGCGTGTGTGTAAACAATAGAGAGAGAGAGAGAGAGAGAGAGAGCGATAGAGCGATAGAGAAAGAGAGAAAGATGGGAGGCCAAAGTCCGTTTATTGGGTTGTTGTGCACCATCTTCAATAAGGTGAAACCTTTTATGGCGATGGTCTCCCTGCAATTTGGTTATGCTGGGATGTATATCGTAACCATGCTTTGCTTGAGGCGAGGAATGAGTCACTACGTACTTGCCGTTTATCGCCATGCAGCTGCCACTCTTGCCATCGCTCCTTTCGCTTTGTTTTTTGAAAGGTCTCTCTCTCTCTCTCTCTCTCTCTCTCTCTCATGGTTTTTAAAAACGAACCGGTGACCGAACCTGTCAGGGGTCCGGTTACTGGTTCGAACGGTTTGATCGTTCGACCCGAAAGGCCAGCCCATTCTGACAAAAATAATTTTAAAAATTAAAAAAATTGGAAAATGGTCAAAACCGTTCGAACGGTTAACTGGTTGGTTCAGCGATTTGCTGACTAAAATCAACGATTTTGGAGAAAAAAACAGTTTTGGGAGAAAACAGAACCGATCAAGTGACCGGTTCCCAATTTTCGGATCCAATCATCCGGTTCGATCCGGTCCGGTTTTGAAAACCATGCTCTCTCTCTCTGCTTTAACAATAATAATTAATAAAAGTTTGTACCTTTTGCAGGAAAATCAGGCCAAAGATGACAGTCTCTGTCTTCCTGAAGATAATGGTGCTAGCCTTCCTCGAGTATTACTCTAATCCCTATATGAATCTGAGTTCCAGCCTCTTCAATGGACCACATTACTACTATTTACCACGTGTCCCAATTCCTACCAACTCAACCTGAACTGACGCTGAGGCCCATCTAGTATCTGTTTGGATGCACCAACTTTTTCTGCAAGTGTCAACTCGTTTCTAGTTTGTAGAGACCCGGCCGCCGGGTCTGGCTTTCTTATGCATCGCATCTATCATATATTCTTCCAACTTGCTTTCTTATTACTAAAATCGTAGCCCAACTGGCCTGCAATTAAGGCCAGGTCGAACATGGCTTTCAGGTCTGGTAAACCAGAAAACTAAACAATTCTTTTCATATCAAGATGAGTATATCCTTTTTTATATTAACTTGAATCCAGACGCCCAGCTAGGCCTTTAGGTGGTGAGGTGAGACTACAAATAAAATATTCTATCCCCAGTGTTTGGAAAAGAAACCGGAAAAAGAAAACTAAAGTGATGTCATGTAAAATGGAGTATTCATTTGTTTCAATTTTTCATAGCTTCTTCATCCCTACCCATACCTCATTCCGAACAAAATTGGAATGATTTCATTCCAATGAGATAGTTGAAAAAAAAAAACAGAGCAAGAATGAAGTTAGTTCCATGGTTTTTAAAAACGAACCGGTGACAGAACCTGTCAGGGGTCCGGTTACTCGTTCGAATGGTCTGATCGTTCGATCCGAATAATCGGCCCATTTTGACAAAAAAATAAAAAAATTTTAAAAATTTGGAAAACGGTCAAAACTGTTTGAACGATTAATCGGCCAGTTCATCGGTTTGCTAACTAAGATCAATGGTTTTGAGGAAAAAGCGATTTTAAGGAAAAACAGAACTGATCAAATGACCGATTCCTGATTTTTTCGGTCCGGTTTTGAAAAAACCGGACCCTGAGGCTAGCTAATCATTGAATTGGAAGGTCAAGATCAAACAGGATGACTGAGTTGGTGGACCCTGAGGCAGATTCAGACCAAATATGAATGTGATGAGGTCCATGGGAGAATGATAATAACTCAGTTCCATCATATATATATATATATATCACTGTCTAAAAAACTTTCTGGAACGCCTTATAATTCTGTTTGTTCTTTTCACCAGGCCGGTGCTTGATCAAAATCTATACTACGTGGGGATGAAGTCCACTTCAGCAACTTTTTCATCTGCCATATTCAATGTTCTTCCTGGCATCACCTTTATAATGGCAATCATCTTCAGGTAAGACGGATCACCTCCATCAGAGTGCACTCGTAACAGCTAAAAGTTTGTATCCTTTAACCAACGGCTCACCACCAGATTCCTCAGAAGAGAATCACAGAGATTCTTTTGGGATCGGTGGATGGTGGTGGACCCATTATTATGTGACGAATATACCAACTTTTCTTTCTTTATATATATATGCTTTGCTTTCATGGATTATAAGCACAAAAGACCAAGTTCAGGATTAAGATATCCCCCCAATAATTTTCATATAGTGCTCCCAATAATAGGTTGCTTTGTTAAAGGAGAAAAATTAAAACAAGGGTATTTCTATCACCAAGAAAGTTCAACCTAATTGGGTCAAATGATCATGATGATCCCGTTTAATTGTTTCTGCTAAATGGAGGGAAGACTCTTCTGATATTTCATGTCTTCACTCACCTAGTCCATGCCATTCCTACTTCTTTTTAGTTTAAGACATGTATAAGTTTCTTTGTTTTATTTAAATTCTTGCAAAGAAAAGCTTGTTTTAATTAAACATGTGATGAAAGTTTTTAGGCCGAATTGTTGCCCCTCAATGGTTTTAATGAAAGAACATTATTAATTAATTTATCCTTAATTATTCTCTAAATTATCTGACTAGCAAACCCCTTAGCTGACTATATATCATATATTCTATTAGATAGCAGGTGATAAAAGAAAAGGAAGACAATGGTATTTTATCTTGTTATCAATCTCCATTGACTGGCTTTCATTTATATATATATATATATATCAAATGGCAAACAGACCGCTTTAATATGGAGAGATGCTTTTTATGTAGATTGTGATCCAAACAAAAATAAATAAATAAAAATAGAAGTTCCAAGAGATGCTTTCATTAAAGATGTACTTAGTGATGTCCTTTGAGTGGAGCTTCCAAGTTCCAAGAGATAAAATACTAAAATAGAATGCATTAAAAACCAGTCTATTTTATGCAATGTTACTGTCTTGAGTTTTGATGCATGTGGTCTCCCCTTTACATTTTCTTTATTTGTAGTCTTCAGCATCAACCCATTTGTAAAGCAATTGTCCTCGTCTGAGAATGCCACTTTAACAAATTCTTAATGCTTAATATGATGACTTGTCGTCTACCAGGTTGGAACATGTAAAGATTAAGAAGATACACAGTCAGGCCAAAATCATCGGAACTATAGTGACCTTCGCCGGAGCAATGGCCATGACATTGTACAAAGGCCCCATCCTAAACCTGGGACTGTCACGAGGCGGAGCCCATCATGAAGCCAGCAGCAGCGCCGCCGGTCAGCATTGGGTTGCGGGGACACTTATGCTTCTCGCCAGTTGCACCGGTTGGTCTTGTTTCTTCATATTGCAGGTGACTCATCTCCAACCAAATTAAAGCTGTAATTTTAGGGTTTTCTTTTTCAATGTTTATAGAAGCTGATATCATGGTTTTGGTGCAACAGTCCTTCACACTAAAGCAATACCCGGCAGAGCTCTCTCTCACCTCTCTGATATGCTTCATGGGCATGGTGCAAGGTGCGGCTGTGGCACTTGTCATGGAACGTAAGCCTGGTGCTTGGTCCCTGGGCTGGGACTCTAGGCTCCTTGCTGCCGTCTATTCGGTAAGTGGAGTACTCCCCCAATTCGCCTTCTAAACTGGCTCAACCATGGTTTCACTAAGTGGGTAATTACATAGAAAGCCCAAGAAAATGAAGCAAGTTAAATGGACAACTTATCTCTGATGACTCTCTTTCTTTAACTCGAGATAATAAAACATTTTAATTAGGGAATTCTACAAAGAAGATTGTGACTTCTTCCACAGTTCCGCCCACTATTTATTCCTGAATTTGTTATAGGAAAATAATTACCGTCAAAATCGGGAAAAAGTTGTGGTAGTTGAGCAAATCAAGAATGTTGGTTTTCTTTTTCTTGACGTCCAAACGTCAGAAAAGCAACTTTCTTAAAAAGCTGCCCACTTTCTTATGTTGTCCTTCGTTTTCTAGCTTACCAAATATGGTTAAGCTTAATTTATCAATGTTTGGTAACACCCATCTAGTGGAATTACTGTTTTATGGTCTCTTTATTAGTTAGCTCAGTTCTTTCATTCAATTCCATGCAGGGAGTTGTGTGCTCAGGGATCACATACTATGTGCAAGGAATAGTGATAAAGGAACGAGGCCCTGTTTTTGTGACAGCCTTCAACCCTCTTTGCATGGTCATTGTTGCAGCTTTGGGGTCCTTGATATTAGCAGAGCAAATCCATCTAGGAAGGTATAAATTAAACATTCAGTTAGTTCTGTCTCTCTATCAAATGAGTAGTATTTTTAGTTTGTTTTTTCTTCATTTGTCGATTAATGTTTAATTTGGTTGGTTATTGTGATTTGAACAGTGTTATTGGAGCAATTGTCATAGTAATCGGCCTTTATTCTGTTGTATGGGGCAAAAGCAAGGATATTGTAGCCTCGTCCCAATTGACTAACGAGAAGGGTCAGGCCCTAGAACTACCAGTTGCTGCAACAGATGGTGCTAAATCAATTAATGGAGATCATAATGGAAGTAGTGTGATGGAGGAGATTTCAACAAAAATCCCTGTAGCACAGAAGTGATCTACGTTGTTTACCTCTGCCGTTTGAGAATTGTTGCTTTAGGAGGTTTTAATTAAACCTTTTTATATGTATGGAGATGGACCTACTAGTCCATGTACAAATATTGCTCATCTTAGATTTCAAGTTTCAATGTATGCTGAAGTTCCGTTAATGTATTAATAAATTATTCAGTGTTTACCCCTGCAGTGTCTCTCCATTCAACCTACAGAAAAACACACATATGATGGAATTGGGAAGGGGGAAGAGAGAGAGAGAGAGAAAAGGCGCAGTTAGACTTTCCAATAGCCTGGTAAAGGGTCGGTAACTAATAGGCATATAGAATCAGCCGATTTATAATTAACTAGTAAGGAGATGTTTGGCATCAATGCTGTTTTTTTCAGAAAATGGTGGTGCACAGGTGTTATATCAGAGAAAACGGTGCTTCAAATAACATCTTTTTGTTTGGTATCGATTTTTTTTCCCGACCATGCCTTAGAAATCGGGAAAGTGTGGTCTAAAGCAACACCAAATTCAATGGTTTTTGGGAAAACGGTGCATTGCTGCCAACGATGCAATGATGTGGCATCATCTTGGATGTTGAATAATATAAATCAATGTTAAAAACGTTGCTGCCAGCAATGGTACTAAACAAAATCAGTGTTGTTTTCTCAAAAAATGCCTATGTGGCAGCACCGGTTCCAAACAAAAAATAAGTACCGTTTTTTAGTACTTACAATTCTATATGCCCGGCACCATTTTTCTATGAAAACAATTCAATATTCCCAGAACTGATACCAAACACCTACTAAGTTTCTTGCTTTCTTTTCTCAAAATATTTTATCATATATATCCCCAAGGCCATGATACAATGTTGGTCCCAGCTATCTCGAGCCTTAGGAGGGATAGAAGGTAGGATACAAGCCCAACCTTTGGCTCTTTATCACAAAAGTAGTGGCCACTGTCAAACTTGAACATGTGCTCTCACGTTTGCCGCAGGCTGAAATTTTACCGTTACACAAAGTAATGCCCCCTATTTTATTATACCCCCTTATAAAATAATAAATTTAGACATTATATGAAACTATTAATTAAAAAAACAAAAAGCCCTAATCTTCATTATATGAACATGGTTCCAATTTGCACAAAGCGACCACTCTAAGATTTCAACCTATGTCCTCACACTTGCCAAAATTATTGAGATTTTACCATTACACCAAATAATGGCCATATCTCCTTATTATAAAATAATAAATTTATACATATTATATAATTCAAAATCCCTAAGAAGCTCGCCAATTGATAAATTAGTAAATTACAATTATTACCCAAAAGATGAATAAGCCAATCTACAGTTTGATTTGCCTCACGGTAGACATGTCGGTACCTAATCGTAATATCCATTTACTCAGTGAGGCGCTGACAATCCTCGATGATGTGCTTGAGACTCCACGGCACAACTAGTATCCTTTGAAGGCAGCTGATGACAAGCATGGAATCACCTTCAATAATAAGATGAAAGCCATGAAAGTTGAGGGCAACATTATGAGCTTCCCATGCTGCCCAAATTTCATCCAACTTAATGGAATCATATCCAATAGAATAGGCTTTCACATCCAAGACCCTCCCAACATGGTTTCTAGCAATGCAAAGCAATGGAGCAGAAGTCCTTTTGCCTTCCAAATTTGCACAAAATGGCCACTCTCAGACTTGCCAACTTGAGATATACGTTACAATAAGGTAATGACCCCTATCTTATTAAATCTCCTTATTATCATATATTAAATTTAGACATATTATATGAACCATTAAAAAATAGCCCTAATACACAACATGCTTAAAAAATTAATCTTCTAAACTCTAACTCCTCCCTCTCTCTATCTCTCCTCGCCCTTTAGAAGAATTTTGTGCAAACATCTAAAAGTAATATCATGTAATGCCCAATTGGTACCCTTAAGTGGTTCTCTCCTTTTGTACCATACGTGGTTCATGTGAAGGGGCTTCAACAATAAATCTTGTGAAAATAGCAGAGTAGTGAAGTTAATCAAGTTGATAGATTTCTTACACAGTTCAAACAAGACAATAATTTAGATGAACGTAGCTAACGTAGTCTAAATCCAAGCTGAGAGCTTTATTTCATCAATGATGAAGGGCAGTCTTGGAAAATCCCAAATGAATGTAGATCCATATTTCCATATTTGCTGAAATCATTTCCACGAAATCTTTTCAAAAAAAAGATTTCCCATAAGAAAGACAACAATCATTCCCCATAAGGCACTTCAAATTCCACAAGAGATTAGTGCTCATTGGACCCCTCATAATATGCTTAGCTAAATAGAAAATGAAGGCGCAATTCCAACCAGTGGACCAAGATATGTCGCGCGATTGTGACCGAAGAAAATAATAGCTTTTACCTTTCCGATCTCCGCGTATTTGTATAGGGTACTAAGAGCCCATTTGGTTCGTGAGAATAGGGGCCCAGAATCGGAATGGGAATGATCAAACTGTTCGGTTGGGTGGAATTGGAATCCAGGCCATTCCAATTCCGATTCTAATTCCCATCTGAACCTATACAAAAAGACCATTCCGATTCTAGCTGCAAATCAAACAGACCTTAAAAGTTTTATAGTTAGCTAGGAAAACTCTTGGCTACTGTTTGTTGCCTGTGGATTTGAATTATGAGTATTTTTAGGGATATTTGCTCTTAATGTTTTTTTTTTTTTAATGGGCAAGGGACACAATGGGGCAACTAATTAAATGATGTTGCTAGATCACATAGCACTCCTATCTAGGTGGCTTTAGTAAATTTCTATCTAGGGAAGATTTGGATAGGACCATTTTGATAGTGGCTCTCATCAATACTCATAATGATGTAGCTCAAATAAGAAGAAAGAAAATAAAAGAAATTGCTCAAAAGAAGAGGAAAAAAGAGAAATTGAATAAAATTTGGCTAATATGAAAGGAATTATAAAGAAGCAACAAGTTTAGGGATTCACTCATTCAAGAAAGACTCTTCCAACTCTCAAAAGAAAGCAATAAATTTAAAAAAATAAAATAAAAATAAAAACAAAGGAAAAAAAACTTGAATACCTCATGCTTAGAATTATATATCTATATCGAGAAATAAAAATTAGCGGTTGTAATATTCAATGTAAAAATAGTTGTGAGAAATACACTAACAAACTAGGTAGCTGTTAGAGGTCCATCAATAAATTAATTATAAAAAAACCCACCAACCAAAATGGCCATTGAAGTCCATTAGTGGGTTAAAATGTGAGATCCATTTATTTTCTCCTTTAAAAAAAGGATTTAGTGTTTTTCAAAGCATGGTCTTAAACTACATCATACAATGGCTTTCTTTTTCTTTTCTTTTCTTTCTAACATGGATATTGTCTTAGCCTTTTTTCAACCCTGAAACCAGCAATAGTTACAATATACTCGATCTTGTAATTAAATTCACAACAAAGAGGTTAAATATCATAGAAGAATTATAAAAATTGATAATATTACATAAAAAATTTCCTTCCAAACACATATTAAGTGCTTGTTTAGCAAGTCTTTTCCAAAAGATCTATTACAAGATTTGATGATTAAAAGACTGGGTGAGCTTCTGCAAATTGATCTTAGAAGACCACATACCATTGGTGGACATGCATGTAGGGTCCATGTGTGGACATGTATGTGGGACCCACATACATTTTATAAGGTGGACCCCACATGCCATTGGTTGACATGCATGTAGGTCCATGTGTGGACATGTATGTGGGGTTCACATACATTTTACAAGGTGGGCCCCACATGCCATTGGTGGACATGCATGTGGGTCCATGTATGGACATGTATGTGGGGCCCACATACATTTTACAAGGTGGGTCCCACATAATACCTAATGTGGGCCCCACATGCATTTGAAGCTTCCTGAAAAAGTTTTTCTGGAAAGATAATTTTTGTAGAAGACCATTAGTAGGTCCCACTTGCATATTCAAATAGTTTTTGTGGAAAGATAACCCATTTTCTCCCAAGTGTGTGCATTTGAAGATGGGGATTGATGGTGCGCAATCCGGCTGGTCCTAGCTGTCAACGACCTTGCCTCTGGACGGAGCTACAGGGGGCCTGAAACAGAGAAGATGGGGAAGCTCGTGTGATGGAGCTTTTGCAAGTGTGATGGACTCAGGAGGGACTCGTGGTGGACGCTTGTTTCAAGGCATGAAGAGGAGGAAGCGAGTTGCCAAGCGAACTCGCACCGAGCTGCCCCGGGATGCGGAGCCCGAGGTACCATACTACCCGTCGGGGGATCCGCTCAAGGAGCCCGAGATGGCTCCTCCAATGCAAGAAGCGGCAGGGGGCCCGTATGCTGAGACTACTTACACGGGGGCTCCCACTTACTCTGGTGCTCCTACTTACTCTAGGTCTGCTCATACGCGAGTTAGGCCCTCGGGCTCGGGGGCCCCAGGGGAATTCAGGAGTGTGTTGTCGCCGACCTACGCTCTTCAGAAGAGTAAGGAGGCCATTTTCCCCGAGGAGATCGCGGCGTGGACTGATCTCCCTCTGCACTAGGTGCCCTGTCGTGCTGTTACTCATGCCATGGTGGTAAGTCAGACTTTTTATCGAGCTTTTTTGTTTTTATCCTTCTTGCCATGTTGTTACTCACTCGTTCTTTTTGGTAGCTGAACTCTTCTATCGACGCCCTGGCGGCCCAGGTGGAAAGGAGCTCGAGGCAGGCGCGAGCTTCTGAAGAGGCTCTTCGTGCTGCTGAGACGACTTCCTGAGCTACTGAGGCGGCTTCCCGAGCTGCTGAGGTGGCTGCTCGTGCTGCAGAGGCTAGGCAGGCGAGGTCTCAGAGAGATGCCGAGGCCATGGGAGTCGTAGTGAAGCACATGGCGGACTTGAGGCTGGATTTGCAGCATCAGGTCGAATACCTTCAAGAGGACATTAGGGAGAGGACGTAGATCTTTTCTCAAGGTATTGACGATGCCAAGAAAAAGGTTGTCGATGAGTATATCGCCTCGCCGAGTTTTGACGACCTAATTCGTACTGAAGGGGTTTCAAGCTAAGCTAGTGGATGATCCGGAATATGTACCCCGAGCTCGATATTAGTGCCATATCCACTTCGCGCATAACTCAGGAGATGGCCAATGCTGCTGATGGTGAGTCACACTCCGAGGGCGAGGCGGGGCCTTCGGGTATCGTTGAAGTGCCTTCTGATAAT